AGAGGGGGGAAGACTCGGTTGGCTGATTTGAGGGGGAATAAGGGATCAACCGGCTATTTTGAAGGGGTTTGGAGGGCTCGGCAGCCAATGGAGGAAGATGAGGGAGGAGGGAGAGAAGGTAGAGCCAAGAACCTTGACACAACGTCAGTTGTTGGGTGTTGCGTTGCCCTACTCCTAAGGACTTCACTCTTCTCTCAAGAAGACTCAAACATACACGATTCGAAAAAACTGAAGTTTAATTCATAATAATTATCTTCTTCTTACAATAGTCAAAGGCCTCAATATATAGGACTCAAAACATGAAGGAATCAAAAGACTAAAATGCCCCTCGGGCTACAATACTCATATAATTCAATATAAGGCTAAATTAGGAAAGACTCTCAAAATAAAATACATTAATAAATGAAATGCAGAAAATATCGATCTACGGCTCTTCCTATGATATACACGCCAGTTTTTTTTGCCGATGTCCTCATCATTTTAGCTTATTTGAACAAACATTTGGAGTGATTGAGGTGAAAACTTGTTGCTTAGGATATGTTTTATCATAGTGCAAATATACACCAGAATATCATCAAATAAAATAATTACAAAATTTCTCTAGTACGATTTTATTAGTGTTCATAATATTCAAAAAGTTACAAGGGTATTTGTTAGACTAAATGACAGTATGATGAAGTTGTAATGTCAATGACATTGCAATGAAGGCATAAGTTCCTTCATGTGTCTTAAATCCAATTTTTGGCACATCCACATCAGCCATATGCACCTAGTGGTAGAAAATGATTGCCCCGAATAGCTCATCCAACATCTCCTCCACCATTGGAATTTGGTAGCTGTTTGGGACGATGGCTTGATTTATTTCTCGATAATCTTCACAGAATCACAAGTTTACATCATTCTTTTATACTAGCAATGTTGGTGATGAAAAGGGCCTAATGCTAGGGCGAATTACTTCAATCTAAAGCATCTTTGTTATTATCTTTTCTATGAATCTCTTTTAGAAGTGCGGGTAGCAATAGGGGTGGACATTCACAAGCGATGCTTCTGGTTTCAAATGGATCTAATGATCTTCGTTTGCGATAAGTGGAAGGCTTTTGGGTGGTTCAAAGACTTGGTGAAACTCTTGCAACAGCTCTTGGATGGTTTCAACCATTTCTTCGCTATTCTTTTTTTCTTAAGATGACTCATTGTTTATTGTCTTAAGTTGGAAAAATAAACCTTGCATGGTATTCTTTCTCAGTTGAGTGAATTAAATCCCTTCAATCATTGTTTTCCTCATACCTATTAACTCCATTGTTTCCCCGTGTCATTCAAATTGAGTAGTTAGGGTATTGTATTACCCAAGAAATTATAACTATTATACCTCATTACAATTTAAATGACTTGGATGGGAAGGAGAAGTTGATTTAACGTAATATGTTGTCCTGGTAATCTAAGAGTGATATCCGAGCATTTGTATTGATATTCTAGCACCTCCCCATTTTCCACAAGAAATTGGAATATTTGAATGGGTGTGATTGCTAAACCCAAATATTGTATCGATTGTTGCTGCATAAAATTATGCGTGCATGCTCCATCGATCAAAGCCTGGGCAACCATTTTTCTTATATCTTCTTCCAACTATATTTTGTAATTGCTACCTTGCCAACTTATGAAGACTAATTGCTAGGCATGCTTTCCATGCTTTATTTGTTTCACTCATAGCATCAGTGGTTGTCACCCCACCTCCTATCTAAATCATCAAAGTGAACATTTTTTACTTGCAAACATGATTTCAATGGAACTTCTCATCATAGTGGTAACATAGATGATAGAGCCTCCATAATTTCAGCTATAGTTAACCTTTTGATTGGTAATTGTGATCGATTAGTTTCATTGGAAATGAGTAGTTGTTTGGTTGTTGTTGGTAACAAGGGTGGGTGTGATTTTGGAGTGGTGGAGCTAAGTTATGTTGTTCCCCATTCTATTCTTTTTGAGTCATGGAGCTTGGCTAGTTCATCTGCTTGATCCAACATCTTAGGCCAAGGTATACGAACCTCTTTTCAAATATTAGCTGTCATCCCAAATTCAAAATATCTTTGCAAGCATATTTCATCATGTTTGCTAAACAGACTTGATAAATGCTCAAGGTGTAGTTGGTATTCAATCATGGTTGTTTTTTGCATAAGCTTCGCAATTTTTTTTTTGCAAATTCTACGTGATTTGATGGTCTACCCTAGGGCTGTCAAAACTGGGATTCGGATCGGGTTCAGGTTGAACCCGAATTTGACCCAACACTTTTTAACCTGACCTGTTTTTGCAAATAGGTTGATTTTTCGGACTCGAACCAGACCCGCTTCGAGTCCGGGTCAACCCGAACTCGACCCGCTTCAGGTCAGGTTCAACCCAAACCCGACCCGCTTCGGGTATGTTTTACTAAAATATTTTTATTTAATTCGATTTATTTAAACCTAAATCGCATTAAGGTAAGATTTACTTCAATAAATTTAAAATAAGCCAAGCTTAATTCTGTTTGGGCAATATGGTTTATTATTTTTTGGAAATAACATTTACTTATTTCATAACAATCTTCTAAAATCCTCCTAAATCAATTAAAAACGGGTCAAACCGGATTGATTTCGGGTTTCCGGGTCAACGCGAACCTGACCCGGTTTTACAAACGGGTCGAAATCCCTAACCCGAATCCGAAATTTTCGGGTTGGGTTCAGGTCGGGTTTTTGGGTCATGTCAAATATTGACACCGCTAGTCTACCCAACGTGTTGATGAATCCTTTACACTTTATCGCTCACTTTGTTGTAGACATCCAATGGTTCCATTCCTTCTCCAGTCAATCCTTCTGTAATGATGTGAGTGTTAATTTATCCTCGGAAGAATTGCTAATACTTTTCTAAGTTTCTAGATTTCCTCAGATGTACCAGAGGATTTAGTGTAGCACAACTTTGAAGGGATTTTTTCCCATTAATTCCTGCATCATGGTTTCTTAGTGAACGATCAAGCTCTCCTTTCTGTCACTCCCAGTCCTGCACTGTTTGGTGATTTGGTCATACCTATCCTTTGGGAGTGAATCTCAAATTGATTTCCCTTACAACCTCATCAATTGAGGCCAGTGTTCTTCCACGCCTTCAAGATGCTCAATCATCTTGATTGGTTTGTTTTCTTCAACATTAGAGCAAGGTTATGCTTTTATGTCTCTTTGTTAAATTTCAATCTAAGCACCAATATTAGGATGCTAGTTCCAAGCAATTTTTAGCTTGCTAGCAATTTCATGGAGAAAAAAATAAGTAGTAAAAGCAAATTGGTATTAAATTTTTGTAGCATATCTCTTACACGACATTGCTACCATATTTATTCACTTTTATCCATTTCCATACTACCCATAACCAATCATCCAAATACATGTAAACTACTTCATAAATGCCTATCATTCTTCTTGTTGTAGCCTAGTCTTTGTCTAACAACACATCTCTTTTACCAGAGACCCATGCGGAAATCTTTGTTCGATGTTAGAGGTTGCCTCGACTGTGTCATCTTTGGCTGCTCGTTGTTGCCACTTGCTATGTTTGACCTATCATAAAAGTCTACAAAACCTTTCTTCAAATATGCATAAAAAAATAATGTTTTAAATTTTCGTTGAACCTCTAGGCCAATTCATTGTTTTTTCAACTCATGAAATACTAGCAATATTACGCGTTTTAGTTGGATTGCACATTGATGATAATTAATGTCAAACGTATCAACAATATGCTAACTGGAGTCTCTCAACTGCATTTGGAATGGTGCTACTGGATAATCTATATGGTTAATTCCACCTTATTGATTAGGCCCAACAAAGCTGTTGTGGAGTGGAGTAGCTGTATTTCTATCCCTTCTTTCAGCTAGTTTATTTTTTTTAATACAAGAATGTTTTAAAAAACAAACTCATGAGTTGACGTACCTCAAGGGGGTGAGATGAGTATATATTTTTTCGCTCATTTAACAATTGCATTTAAACTTGTATCGTAAACTATGTAAATAAGCATTTACGGGACCTGGTCTGTGAATAACACATATCATCTGAGCCAAATATGCAAGGTGGTCGTCAATATGCCGTCAACTAATGAGTTATCTTCTAGATGACTGAGAATAATACTAAATTTAGTTTGCATATTAATTGAAGTTAAGAGAAAGTTTTCAAAATGGTTATTGAACTATTTGCAGGGAGTCATTTTAATTCGAGATTATTTAAAATGTCCAATTTTGTACCTTGACTCCTCAAATATGATCCAAAATAGTTTCATAGTCAGAATTGCTATTTAATTTATTAGAAATTTCACAAAAGTTTATGAATGAGGTAGGGAATGAAGTTATTTCACACAAATTAATATGTACCGAAATTTCACTTTCAAAAAAATTCTCTTATTCCCTCTCATTGGTGAACTATATCTGAAATTTTCATCAAACAAACAATAATTTTAATTATGAGATTATTTTGGATTATATTTGAGCAGTCAAGGGATTAAATTAGATATTTTAAGTAGTATAGGATTAAAGTAGCCCTCCTACAAATAGTTCAAGGACCATTTTGAATATTTTCTATTAGAGGTTGACTTACATCAAGTTCACTATAGATCTATTTTTTAAAAATTTTTAATAAAAAAATTGCTTTCCTTGGCTACTTTCTAATTCATTTTAATTGTTTATTATCATCCACTTTTCAAAAGTTTATGTTCTTATACAAAACCTCTAAACATTTTGCTACTATTATTTTGAAAAACATTGTGTCAGGATATCCTATATAAATTATATCAAAATGGACTTAAAATTTATTGAATTTGTTATTTGATTAGTGCAATAGAAACTCTTTAGATACAACACTAATCTAAAAACAAATCCAATATTTTTTTAATCCCATCATGATATGATTTGTATTAGGATATCCTAACACAATTTGTATCAGGATATTTTTTTTTAATACAGTAAGCATTTTTTAGCCATCTAATGATATTTATTTCTGCAGAACTACTTAGGTTGTTTCTTCTCATTACCTATAGTGATCTCCTCTATGAGATGGGGGCTGGCAGCTGGTAGGAAAACAATGGTTTGTATCTAGCTAGAATCTATAATTTAAGTCAAGCTTGATATTTGATGCCAGTTTTTTGAACGAAAGCATTTTTAAAACTATTCAAGGTTGCCACGGCCATGCTCCTTTTCATCTTATCTGGACCTGTCAAAGCATCTACTTATCTGGTAAGTGACTTATTGCTATGTATTGCAGATACTTCAACCTTCAATTTTGAAGTATTAATGTCTGGCTAGTTCATCATAAGAATTCGTTTGAGATCACTTTATTTTTTTCCTTATCAGCTGAAATAAATAATTTGATAAGAATTTTATGTGAGAAGTGAAGCAAAGCGAATAAAAGTTTTTTGCTTTATCAAAAGCTTGCTGCACAGGGTACCACTAAATTCTGTTGCTTCAAAATCTGTGCTTTGCTTCTAAAGTGCAAAGCGCACCTGGTTCCTCTTTTAGTTGCACGAACGTTTTACTTTTTATATTTTATTTTGGTATGGCTTTGGTGATCTAATTATTTTTCTGCTATTACTGTAGTTTTTACTTATTCTTACATTTTTTATGGATCTTCTCAGTTCTGTGAGATAAAAGAAATGTGGATAGCTTTATTTATTTGGTGAATGAGTTGATTTATATTTTAGGCAGGTTTCTTTTTCCTCTGATAAAAGGTGTGACATTGTTCATTTCTAAGTTAAAATCCATGCTCCATTATTATATTATATTGAAACTTTAACGCTAAGTCTGTATCCTTGGGATTTTATTTTTATGCAGTATATCTCATGCATTATTTGTTGCTCAAGCTTCATTCTTATTTTCGATCATGGTACATAATTTGGCTTGGTGCTAAAGCTTAATTTTTTAAAGCACTTAAACTTTGCTTTTAGTGACATATTTCTTAGAAGGTTTAGAATCCTCTTAGGAAATTGAGTTAATAGAGGAAGAGTTTAGCTTAGTTTTTGTTGGTAAGAAACTTAATATTGTATCCTTTTAATGTGTATAAAATTTACACATTATAAGACGTATTCCTTCTTAGAAGGTGCTAGTGTTTTACTTTCTAAGACTCAAGAACAATGCATGCCGCCCAAGTGCTTTACAGCTTCCATGTGGCGCATTTTAAGAAGGTAAGCACACCGTGGTGTACCTTAGTGGCACCTTTGCCTAGTTGAGATGTCCTCTTGAGAGCACTTTTTTTCATCTTTCTCTTAGATTGAATAAGATATGCTATCAATGTTAGATGGTTCTATGATATTCTACATTATCTTCAATGCTGTTTTATTTATTTAGGTTTTGGTCGTTTCTTCTTCTATTCTCATAGAGGGCTATAGTTACGATTGTGACAATCTTTCATCTTATTTAGATCTTTTTGGCCCAAACAACGTGAGGTGGGTAGTGGGTGAGGTGGAATAGTGTTTTAGTGATTTGGGAGAACCTAATTATCCTAAATTCATGTGAGAGTGTATGAGGTTGATGGAGTAAAAAACAAGAAATGTATTTGAATTTATAATTGTTTGACACCCTCATTAGATTACATTAACCCTTCAAGTTCTCCTTTGAAATTTCTTTATTAATTCTAGCTTCTTCATGGGTATAGCACTATCCCACATCTTTCTCTTTCTCTCAGGTAGTTAACCATGGCCTTTTCTTGGATTAAGAATAATCCCGCAACAATTTTTTTTAAGCATGAACCCACAAAATTCTTTTAAAAACTATGGACATATTGCAACTCTTTAAGGGGAGATTACACCTGAGGAGAATTAATATGCTAATTAGTAGAAAGACTGGATAAAACTTTAGAAGTTGAGATAACCTCTTGACAAATGAAAGAAGAATAATTGGAGCCACGAAGGAATGATTTTATTGATATCTTGATAGTTTAAAGCCAACTGAACTCATGAAATCTTTCTTAAATGCTCTGTAAATGAAAGTTCATTAAGGAAGAGTGAAATTATTGTTAAGTGATAAGCTTTTTTCTTTTTTTTTTTTTTCTGAACGCCTCGAGGCTAGCTAAGTGATGAGCTTGTGGAACTAAGAAACATGGATATGTATACTTTTGTAGCAAACCTGAATTCAAGTCTCAACAACTTAAGTGGTGTTACATTAATAGTAGCTCCTCAGAAGTGTTATTTACCTATGTCATTTTCTCTGTGGAATAGAAGATAAGTAATTTTGCAGAAATAAAATATCAAAATGATAAGGTTCTGGTTTAGTTATGTATGCTCTATCAATTTTTATGGCCAATTTGGCCAGCAACATTAGAGAGGTCTGATTCAAGGAATAACGAAGACTATAAGTGTTTTTAAACTATCATTGTCAAGCTTGAATCAGGACATAACCAAGTTTATAGGTGTGTTTAAAAGATTTGTTTAGCATAATTAATTTTTCCAACCAAATTGAGTAGATTTAAGACAATGGAAATTGCAAGTATTTAAAATTGGTTTAAGTGGGCAGCAGAAAGATTTGTTTGACATGTTGAATTTGGCCGTCCAAATTGTGTAGACCTAAGACAATGGAAACTCCAAGTTTTTAAAATTGGTTTTAGTGGCCAGCTTAGCATCTTTAAGTTGATTGAACAAAAAGATGAAGGAAACCCAAAATACCAAACATGGAGGCGGCTGATTCAATATTATCCTTAATGGTACTAGACTATGTTGCACCGATACACCTATTTATGAAGGCGTGCTGTATCCGATACACCGATACATGGATACGCCTCCGATACACCACCGATACGTGTCGAATACGCCAAAGCCGTATCCAATTAAAATACTATTTAATTTCAAAAGGACACGCGTATCCGATACGCGTGTCCATTAAAAAACAAAATGAAATCCGAAAAAAAAGGCCCGTCGTATTTACTTCTGCGACTGCGAGCAAGGTTCGCTTATTTTCGAGATGGATTTGTGTCTCTTGATGATATGAGAATATTTGAAATTACTAATCTTTCACTTCATGAGCTTGAATTAGAAGCTATGATATTTATTGAAGATGATATAGAAGTTCAAAGACAAACCACTAAAGAAGCTAATCATATCATCCCTTCTATTGAATAGTTAAAACTTCATGTGCTAGACAATTTATGTTTATGCTTTTGTTGTTGTACTAGACATTTATTGCTTACTTATATTTTGATATTATAAGCTACAAGGCTACAAATAATGTTGTTGTCTTTTTTTTTTGTAATTTCAAATATTATGCTTTGATTGCTTTCTTAATTTTTTTGTATGATTTATAAATTATAATGTCGTATCCGCGCCGTACCGGTATCCTGTATTTTTAAGAATTTACGTGTCCCGTATCTGTATCGTGTCGTATCTATGTCGTCGTATCCGTATTGGTGCAACATAGGTATTACACTATGCCAAAATTAGTTTTAGTAGTTGTAGAGCTAAATCAGTCAATTTGAGTGTAACACATGCGTCCTAATTTTTTTTCCTCCCCACTTTATCTCTAGTTATCCCCCCTCCCCCAATTTTCTAAAGTCCCTCGTTGGTTTTTGCCCCACCATGCAATCGATCCAAATCCCCAAATGATTCTCTCCAAAAATAGGATACATGGTATTTTGCTGTAAAAACTTTAAGTTTATGCATGGATGAAACCATCCATCTCTTTCTTGATATCCATGACAGTGGATTATCTTCTTCTTTATTTTCATCCATAAAATTACCTTCATTCAAAAGCTAATTTCAATCTTTCTAATATTCTGTGCTTATTTAATCCCCTTGCATGCATGCTTCAAACCCCCATTTAAAAATTACCTTTCCACTTTGATTCCTTCCCATCAGTACCCATGCATCCCCCTTCAGAAAATATCAAATTAGTACATCCATGATTTAATCATCTTATGGGGTCACATAATCCTTATCATTCAAGCTATGATTATTATGATAATCACATCAAACATGATCAAATTTGCATAACTCCTTTCATGGCTATTGTGATGATCATTGCTACAATAATAAGCATTAAAATTCATGCTCTTCATATTCATATTGTGATACTTATGATCATTGCCATTCAAAACATCATGTGGATACAACGATAACAACAACCCATATGGATGAATCATATGTTTTATATATTAAATGCCTTCATTTGTACAAATCATGTAATGTTATGCAAACAATTACACATCTTCTCATCATCAATATGACATCTCATATCACTTTGATGGATTCTCCCTTACATTTATACGTGCCCACCCACCACCTAATCCCTAATCCGAGCCAATTCACTAGCCCTTTACTACTCTCTCTTCTTCTTTCCAACTATCTTAAACTTTACTATACCTTTCTCCCAGAGTTTTCAAAGTGCCAAGCACTATAAGATGCATAAGGGTTCTTTTTTTTTCTTTAATACGCAAAACTCAAAGTGAAGCACCACTGTACAAACTAGAGCGATCATGGTTGATATATTATATATTTATGTATTTTGTGCTTTAGTCATTTAATAAGCTATATGCTAATCACATTGGGCAATAATTTTCAGAACATAAAATGGTACATTCAAAAATAGTAATTTTCAACTATCCAAAAACTAAAAATAAAACAAAGATTTAAATAATAAAGTAAAAAATATTCTAAAATCAAGAATGCTCGTGTGATTGAGCAACCAACTAGAGAATGACAGGTGGGGATAGCTTGAAGCGAGATAGAGTGTGAAGATGAGGTATCAAGAAGCATAATTGAAAAAAACCTTATAAATGAGAAGCTGCTAGTGCCCACGACAAGAACCAGTGAGAGGCATATAAGAAAATTAGTGGATGAGAGTGCATGATGAGGAAAACTACCAAGAAGTAACTTGCTCAAATGGGAGAGAACATAGAACCAATGAGTAACAACTCTTACTATGAGAAACAATGAAGACAAATGAATGTTCATGCCTAGTTATTGTGATAGATGTTGGACCAAACCATAAATAATATAAAATAAATTAGTTTTGAGTTGGAGCCAATCAGGTAATGCTACGGTGCAACATAATGAAGCATGCCCTTTGTTTGCTTGCGCTTTGTAAGCAAGTAATGTTCAGGACTAACGCATCAAATGTGTGATTTGAATAACACTACTTCACCCCTTTTGGCCAAACCCTAAACCAACCATACCTAATAATAATAAATAAGAAAAAAAAAAAAAACCACAAAGCTCCACCCAGGCACCCACCGACCGGCCCACTTATGGGCATAAATCTACTTATTTTGGCATGCACAGACGAGCCTACCTGCTTCTTATGGGCATATATCTAGTTATCTTGGTTGAAGGTCTTGGATATTCTGTCTAATTGAAACAGTTCGTTTATGCTGTAAAGCATCTATGCATTGATATTCAAGAACTTTTTTCAACTAACAACTAATTGTGAACATTTAGCATTTACTGTTTTTTAATCTTGAGCATGTGATGCTAGAAAATCTCGTCAAAAAATGTAATATGCGCATGTACCGAGCTTTTTGTGCTTGCTAATATATTTTTCTTTATACGGGTTTGCTGATGGGTTAAATATACCCTAATTTTAAGAAATTTGTGCTCAAGCACTAGATTTGTGCCTCATTTATTTGAATATGAAAGATCAAATTAATGATAATGTCCGTGTTTCAAGTCTGTTCATCGCTCAAAACTTTTTATGCTTATTTCCCATTCTACCTACTACTTCATAAGTATTATAGTTGTACAATGATAGCCAGCTTACCGGTTGAGATTTCTCTTTTAATGTGCAGCTAATGCATGGATTGGTTGGTCTTGCCATGGGTTCATTGTGGAGGTGAGTTTTTGATGATTTCGATGCAAAATCTAATCCTATATCATTTCTCTGTTCGTTCCTTTAAAGCTTCAATAATCATTCACATCTGTAGCATTTAGTACCAAGTCACTTTTAAGTTTAATGCTAGTACCTTATGGTATTTTCAGGTTGAGAGTAAATTGGAATGTCTCACTAGCTCTATGCACACTTGTAATTGTCCTTGCTCATTATCTTCAACCTTCTGTTTTTGATGATTAAATGCTGATTATTTATCAAATGCCATGATATGCAGGTTCGAGTGATTGGAGTTGTTGGTTATGTTCTAGTAACTTCATTCTTAATAAGAGAGAACATACTGAATCTGGTACTATCTAAAATTACTCTAAATTGAATTCTGAACTTGTTCTTGCTAACTCTACAATTTTTTTAGCAGATCACCATTAATGTTCATGCCTCTCTCACCTATGTCCTGGCAGCCATTGGAGTGAATATTATACCGACAATGGATGCTATATATGTTATATTTGGAACCCTGGTACAAAATCTAGTCATCCTTCATTAGCGATTTGCTGTTAATATGGTAAACTTGTATTGAATAATTTCTAACTTGAACTGCTCTGAAATAGGTTCTGCTCAACTGTGGATTCTTTGTTTTATTGCTGCACATTCTTTATGCGGTATTCCTCACCAAGCTTGGGATGAAGGCTTCTTTAGCGCTTCCAGGATGGCTGCAGAAGGCAGTCTGATTAATCGATAGCTCCACAACTTCCATTCCGGACTAAAAATTATTGAAGCTGTTATTGAGAAGGTGAATCGAGCTCTTGCGTTCTTTTTGAAATTGTTTATTATCTCTTTAAGTTTGAATCTGCCAATTAAGCATGATAGTATAGAATTAAAAGAGCCGTGGTAGGATTTTAAGGCATAGAAGTGATATCCTTCTCCAGTATTTGATCCTCTGATGAAACCCATTGTGCTCAGAATTTATTGTTGTATTACGTCGAGGGTTATATTATCAATCAAAAGGAGCTAAAAAAGTCTTATCTCATGTATCAACTTGAGCATGGCATGCTACCACTAAAAATCTATACTGGATTAAGTGAAAAGCAACGCTTACTGCCTGATTCTCAAAATTGTCTACTTTACATCTCATTAAAGTTGCATCTAATTAGTTATAGGCACACATTTTTGTTGTAATAGTGTCTGATGCTTAGCTCAACATATGGGACAAAGTGTACAGGTTTATTCATTCTTTGTTGTATTCTGTTAGGTTTCGTTTGGGACGATTTTATTACTGTTTCATAAAGCAGCTTTCTAGTAATAAAATTATAATTTTTATACTAAAAAAACTGCTTTAAAAAGTAGAAAGAAAGTTATCTCAAACGAAACCTTAGTCTTCACTTCAAATTAGAAAGCCATTGATATGCAAGGCAAATTAATTGTTGCAACTGCTTGAAGTTGATTAATTGAAGGGTTTGATGCAGGAATTTTTTATTCCTATAACTATGTTGATATGATGCTTCTTGCAGGAAAGTACATAGAGGGATTCTTCCTTTAAGTCTTATCATCTATCTTATCTAAGTCAACTCTCTTTAATCTTATCTACCATTAGATCAATTCTGACCTTTTCATGTATGTACTTGTTTCACATTCTATCTCTAAATGTAAAGATACTCATCCACCTAAACATCATCATCTTTATAACATTTAACCTAATTTTTTTGCTTTTCTTTTAATGGCCAACATTCTACACCATAAAGAATTACAAGTCCACCTAAGCATCCTCATATGTGTAACATTTAATACTTTTCTTTTAATGGCTAACATTCTAAATCATAAAGCATTATATGTGTGATGCCCTATGATCTAATTTAGAATAATTATTCTTTTAATTTTTTAATAAACATCAATCATAGCTATTCAATATCTTGTATTAGTAATAAGCAACAAAATAAATTCTAAAATTTAAAATATCAATATACACATTTATATTCATTCTAAAAAAAAAACATATGCAATACTCAGGGTATATATAATTATATCATAACTATTCTATCATAAATACAAAATAAAACAAAAAGAAATAGACCTTGAAGAATTCTGACTAGCCTGACACTCCTACTCTCCTGCCCTAACCTGAATCATTTAATCACATAGAATGAGCTTAAAGTCTAGCACGTCACTAAAACCTACAACTGAAATCAAAGCACGATAAAGGAGAAATATGCATGTCAACAATCATTTCATATCAGTTACATTCACATGATTATTAAATCAGTGCAAAAATAATAAAATTCACATATAGTAGTAGTATAATCTATAAACAGTAAAATACTACAGTACGAAAGTCAATAAAGCAGTAAACCAATACAAGTGTCAAATTTATAAAGTAATCGTCGTATTCGTAATATCAATTAATATAGAAATCGTATAAAATATCAAATCAAAATATAGGTAAAGACTGTCAAAATCATGTCAATGCAATAAAATCATATAAGAGCGTACTCATATTATTCATGTATTATATATCACGTGCTCTGTATATAACATGCTTAGTATCAGTACAATGAAATAGTAGTATTAAATAATATCAGTAATTAATAATTTTTAACTAATTAATTAAAAAATAATATCAGTAATCTAAATCAGTAACAATAACAATTCAGTGACAAAAGTAGTAGAATAATGTAATAATAGTAAATCCATGCAATAACAATAAATTTGTATAATAATAAGACAAATACCTCAAGAACATGTATTTCAATAGTCACTCTAAACAAGTGAGAAGTCCTGGCTATCATGATATTTTTTAGTATTGTATCAGTATCAGTAAACAGTTGACTCAGTAAACATAGTCGTCAAACTTTGGTCCATCGACATAGTAATCATTTCCTTATAACTTCAAATCAGTATCACGTGAATCTGTCAAGGATAACACCAAATTACATTATTTAAAAGAAAGCCCATAGGCCTACCATCATGTACAGGTCAATCTGTCTCCAACTAACGGGTCAACTTGTTTTTACTTGTCTTTGACACAAATAATATTATCACAGTACTATAACAATAATTTCAATCATATATCTTCATTCATTTTTAATGCATTCTAGTAAATAAAGCATAATCGAGCTTAATTCAGAAAGTGTTAAAATGTCATAACGGTAGAATGTAAAAATCATATTGAGTAAAAATTCACAATTTCAAAATTTGACCAAATTATCAAATATTGCATAAAATAGCAGTGCTTTAAAAATCGGACCGGACCGGCCGGTTCGACCGGTTCAACCGTGAACCGGTCACAAGGCCGGTCCGGTTCAGCCCTAAAACCGCTTCTGCAAAGAACCGGATTGAACCGGTCAGAACCGCCGATTCGCCGGTTCAAATCTCACAAATTTTAAGTATTTTTTTTAACATTATTTTTATGTTAATTGTATTAAATTTAAATAATACTTATAAATAGTTGTGTCATTATTATAATATTTAAATATAATAAATATTTATTACGTCATCCGGTTCGACCCCGGTCGAACCATCAAACCTCTAACCCCTTCTTCTTCTGGTTCATTGACCGGTCCGGTTTTAAAAACCTTGTAAAATAGTATGTTGAAGTTTTAGTTGAATTAAATCACTATTTTTAAACATCAAAATAAATTTTTTAGTAGCAAAAAAATGCTATATTTTTAAAATCACTCAGTAAAAATTTCAAATAAATTATCAAAACGTTCATAATATCGATCTTTATAATATATAAAAATTTACACGGTGAAAGTTTTATTAATATAAAAATATTCTCGTTTTTCGATAACGAAACACAAATTTGATAAGAAAAATATCAAAAACACAAAATCTTTAATCAGAAATAGGGTAAAGGTCGCTTACAGCGAGATGAACAATTTTTGCCGTAGGCTCATCAGACAAAAATCGCTTTGCGACATTGAAATCTAAATTTTCCTTTTTCTCTATTTGCTTATTTCTCTCTAAAACTCAAACCATTTCTCTATTTCATGATTTTGTCGAATGAAGAGGAGAATGGAGATTTAAAAAGATTTTAATAATGCTTTCAGATATTTTCAAAAAAATAATTAAATAATAATAATATAATAATATTTAATTTAATTAATTTTTAAAGATAAAACTTATATAAACGATATTGAGCTTTAACAATTATAGAAAATATCTATAAAATAATACATTTTTTTTACAAAAATATCAGTGAAATCGGTTAGCAAAACGGACTCATAAAGGTCCTAAAATCATCACTTGCACCGATAGGTATCAATTCCCTAAGAATTTTCAATGGTGCCCAAAAATTAGGAAAAAATTCATGCAAGTAAAGCATTACAATAACAACATTATGGAGAAGAGAATTTTCAATTTGAAGTTATAACGTCTCCAAAAAAAAATTTGGCAAAGGAAAAATATAGGCTACTACAACAAATCTCATCACCATCTTATAAAAAACTTTCCTGAAGTTTGAGGGATACTATTCTATCACTCATCAGGCTCGATGCATTCCTCCACTTAACCATCCAACTTGAATTCTGCTAATAATATCCACATCTATTTTACTTTCTACTCTTTTTAATGATTGGAAGTGCACTCTTTCTTGAAGTTAAATTTTAATGATTTAACTTTGAATAATACTTAAGATATATAAAATGTGCACTCTTTTTAATAATTGGATCACCCAAAGTCACAATCCCACCAAGTCTATTACTACTAAAAATTAAACTATTTTAAATCTACTCAAACGGAAATCTTTAGATTCTAAGGTTGACCTTCATAATTTAAGTTTTCCTTCTACTCTCTCTCTAGTCTTAACAACAAGAAGAATATCATAAACAAAAAACATACACATGTAAATGTCTAATAAAAATATACATGAATAAAACAAAAAAGATATGGGCTTAAAGATGACCATTGTTGTAATCCAATTGAAATAGGAAGATATTTTGGTCAAACCACCTTGTGTTTGAACACAAGTAACAACTCTTGCATATATATCTTTAATAACTTTAATATAAGCATTATTAACTCCTTATTTTTCTAAAAATCTTCAAAGCACTTCTCTTGAATCTTTATCATATGCTTTTTTTCTAAATTAATAAATATCATATGTAAATCCTCATCACTCACTCTATGCATCTCCATCAAACCTCTCAACAAATAAGCATACTTTTAAGCAAAAAATAATGAATAATAAAAAATATACTTAAATTATGACTCATTATTTAATATCAACTATAGTATGTATTATTTTATATATATCCTCTTCCATAAGATCATGATGATGTAATAATAGATTTGTGAGGTATTGTAGTTATTCTAAAGTTGTATCTTTTTGTCTAGTGTAAGCAAAATATTTAGATTTTATTTGGGATGATTTTTTTTTTCTTGCTTTTTTAAAACAGAGTTTTAATTAAAAAATTAAAATTTGTGTATTAAAACTCTATTTTAAGAAGCAATAAAAAGCTGTCTCAAACGAAATCTTAAATTCTCATTATTTATATTTTTATAGTTTTAGTATGATTGCATAATAGATTGTTAAAGATCTCCTTACAAAATGATTCAACACCCATACAATATCATGTTAAAGATACTTAGTGTGATCTCAATTTGATCGAGGCTTGACTCAATTCTAGCTTGATTTTGATCATGGTTCGACTCATGGCCACCTCCTTAAATTTGATCTTCCAACAACTAATTAGATATTAAAGCACATATCCATGAATATGATAGATATTATACTTTGATTTTGAGCCAAATTCATTCTTGTTGTCTGTATGATATCCTTGACAAAGTAATTGGGAATGTTTTGCAAACAGATTAACATTTATGATAATTTTTATATAAATAACACTTATTTCAACAAAATGATAAAATATAAAAAAATAATAAAAATCCATTGAGATAACAAAAAGATGAGATTTCTAAATATTTTCAATAACTCTATTGTAAAAACTTTACAATCTAATATATTTTAATCATATTTTAATGATAATTTTTTAAATGAACCAACTAATAAGCTAACAAGTAGAGTCAAAATTTACTAAGATTGATTCATTAGCTCTTCAAGGTCCTCTCTAGCCATTTTTTTAAACTAAACCCCTGCTGCCTCACAATTTGGCTTGCCATAACAACACCACTATGTTTACTATAATTTTTTAAGCCCTATAAATTTTCTAAACTTACAAAAAAAAAAAAAAAAAAAAAAGGAAAAGATTTTTTTTTTATTTAAAAAAAAAAAAAAAAAAAAGGGAATGATTTTATTTTCATATTAAAATAAATAAAAATAAAATACTTAGTTAAACATTCAAGTTGTGTTCTAGTTAAGATAATAAGGACTCCAAGGTTTAGAAACAGCTGTAGTAGACAGATTGAAGTTATAGCCTTCAGAAGGACACTTTATCCCATCGGACTTAGTTGGGTTGATGGGCAAGCATGGGTTGTAACCCCTCAACCCACTTTTGATTCCTCTCTCAAGCATCGCGACTCCTTGAGTAGGGAGAACATAATTGCATGGTCCGACTCCTGTCGGCCTGATTGTCCCTAGGCCCGCCGAGGAATTAGTTACTCCACCAAGCGCCTCCTCAACGGGAATGACAGCGGATAGATACCCTCATTCAAAAAAAAAAAAATAAGGGACATTTTATTTTTCTGAATAAATACATTATAACTAAATGTTCAGCAGTCACATGTACTACTAATCAAATGCAGCAGAACAAATAGAGCATGAACACCATGATCACCACCAGACAAGAGAACCAATTCAAGAAACCCTCACTTTTACAAAATATTCTTTTGCATCTTTCAGAGCTTTCTGATGTTTTCAAGTTCACTTGAAACTTCTTTGTAGATGGCTTAGAACTAAGCTATGGTGCAAAATCCTGGAAAGGATAACTCTTGCTGTTATTAGGTAAGAGTTGCCAGTTATTGGAAGAAGGAAGCTTAAAAGAATCATGGACATGCATACAGTAGGAGAACTGGAGAAATACCTTAACAGGAGGACCACTATATTTACCAGAGCGCATGTAAAGATCATCAGGGGCGTCTATAGCCTCAAGCCAAGAATAGTCCTCTTCCCTCTCATCCATCTCAAGTTCTTTTACAGTTGCTGAAACCAAACACTTCTGTTAGATATCAAATATGTCAAATACCTTAAAGGCCAAATAGAAAAAGGATCTAATTTGCTTAAAAAGAACAAGGGGCATATAGCTAATCTCATGTTCATGAAAATAATTAAAAAAGAAAAGTTTCACTACTTTATCAAATGATATAGCGGATCAATATAATTGAGAAGTTTGTCAAATAATTAGATATAAGATTATGCTTACTTTCAAACTATAATCTTAGCATCTCAGAATGTTTTTGCTTGAAAAACCTGTAACGTATGATAAATCTGAATAGGAGAGATTATTCTGTGCGGACACCGGACGGAAAAATCGTCCGGTTTACTTTTAGGACACCGGACGGGGAGCATTTTCATTGGAGTCTGAACTTCGCACAGAATAATTTTTCCCTGAATAGAGATGTTCTCTAAGGAAATATGGTTAATAGGCACCGAAAACGCTTACATACAGAAAGTTGAGTATGGATAATCATGATAATAAGTACAACGTCTGCCAGCAACCTCTGAATATGGTGGAGCCAGAACGTCAAGCACTGCAACGGAAGTGATTGCAGTGAAACAGTGCAAGTTTCCCCCAGTTTTTGGATACAAAACCCTGGTAGGACATGGCGCAGTCAAGACCGTGTCAGCCTGATACTTGGCCAACTTCACTGTCAAGGGCAGGCACAAGGTTAAAGCACCAAATAAATACAGGAAGAGAAAACTTGCAAATAAATAGATACATATGAACATTTACATCAAAGTTGGAAGATTACATGAGGGTCGTCACTAAAGCGCACTTCATATAAAAGTGCGAGGAAAATAAACAGGAAATCCGAAAACGCAGAAATATGACACGTTTTGAAGTCATGTTAACATCATTTTCAAACAGTTGAATTGCTTGCGTCAGGTTAGTAGCTTCCGGGATCATGCACTTCCAAAAAGATTTAAACGCAATAGATAAAGAGATCCTGTCAGCAAAATGAATGTTATCAATGTCTAACAGTCACCATGTGGAATTTGAAAAAAAAAAATCAACCAATATTTTTGTTGTGTTGGAAAATTCGTGATGATACATATAATTTAAAATTTTAGAGTTGTATAAAAATCCCGTATACGCAAAGTTGAGGGCAATACACAAGAACCACAAAAATATCAAGCCTGTCCCACTACGTGGGGTCGGCTACATGAATCTTTTTTCGTAATTGTGTCATGTTAAAAGTTAAATTATCATTTAAATCTAATAAAGAAAGATCATTTCTAATATTTTTTAACAAAGTCTTTTTAGGTCTACCTCTACCTTTCTTAATATAAGTCAAATCTAATACCTCAACTTTCCTAACCGGGTCATCGGAAGGCCTCCATTTAATGTGACCAAACCATCTAAGGCGACTCTCTCTAATCTTATCTTCCACTGGAGCTACTCCAACCTTTTCACGTATATGCTCATTTCGAATCCTATCTCTAAGGGTAAAGCCACTCATCCACCTAAGCATCCTCATCTCTGCAACGCTTAACTTAGTATTATGCTTCTCTTTTCACATAAACATCTTGGGAAAGGATAAAACATAGGGCCAAGCCAAGTTAAAAACAATTCAACTAATATGAGTCAAAGATTACAAAGGGTGTTATTCCAAGTAATAGAAGAAGATGAGCACGAAGATCATAGTTCATGGAATCAATCATTATCAGCTGTCAAATGAATATGAAAGAGGAATGATGAAAGTTGGGTGATCTCCTTGGTCATTAAAAGGATGGGAGACTAGTGACTAAAAAGAGGGACATCAAATGTCAGACATCAATCGTTAGCAAATGTTGGGTAATAACCAGCATAGTCAAAAGTTGAGTGATGTAGGGTGGCCAATAGAATATTCTCGTGATATGAGGGATAAGACTAAGCGTCTAAGAAGATGTAACAACCGAACCCGATAAAATCTACAGATGGGATAGGTCCTATCATGTTGGCTTGCAACATACCAACCCAAGTCAGAGTTTCGGGAAACTTTTTAGATTTTTTTTTCCAATATAACATAGAAAACAAACAACATACCACAAAGCAGTCAATCACTATCAATATACAAAAAAAAAAAAAACTCATTCACAATTTTTTTTTTTAATTTCTCCCCCCCCCCATATATTTTTCTCAGACCCTTATATCTCCCATTAGAACAAAATTCTGACCCTTATGACTCCCATGCTGACATATTATAAAATAAACCTTTATGATTCTCAATGCCCAAAACTAGAACAGAACTTTGTATGCCTTTAGTATAAGAATAGAACATCGTGTGCCTTTAACATTAGAACATAATTTTAATGTGTGAGCAGAAATATATTATTGGAACAAATGAGAACATACTGCTGAAAAGAAATTTACTATTTTAGAATATAACCAAATTAGTAGAGATTGTTCAGAGCATTATTTTGAAGCTTTAATAGTACTACAACATTATTTTATAGGGTCTGAGTTATTTTCCAAATGAATAATGCACTTCCGAAAATTCCTACCGTAAAATATCAAGAAAAATACCTAAATGTCCAGAATTATTGTCTCTATAATATACAGAAAATTATGCAGTAAGAATTTTGCAAGTGTAAAGTTATCCTTGTTTTAAGACTGAAAATATAAATTAAATAAGAAAAATTTTAAAATTTTCGTATTTTTAAAAATTGAAATAGACAAAATGCAACCTACCTCGAATTAAATACTTTTCAAAACTGAGCCATTAGCTAAAAACGAACTGAAGTCGCCCAAAATCAGCTTTCTTTCTCTAGAAATCACTCACTCTCTCTCTCTCTCTCTCTAACTGGCAGCCCCAAATGGATGAAATGGATTGATTTATTGGAAAATATTTTTAATATTACAATTAAACCCAACACTGTAGCACCAGATCTTACGCGCCACTTGCCAAATCTTGCGCTATAGCGAGCTCACAACGTCGCAATATCAAATTAATTTGGCCAAAAACTCGAGAGCTCAACGTCGCGACACATAGGAGAAAAATTCTAGATTTGCAAAACATGCACACAGACCCCCGAGACCCACTTATGAACATATGTAGACTTTCACATGCATACAAAATATTCTCAAACACATGTAAAAGGGCTCAATTGCAAAAAACAAGGTGGATTATCTTCAATCAGATCAGAACAGGTAGAACTATATACTGATTTCAGAGGTATTATAACTCTCCAATCCTTAGAAAAATATCATTCTCGACATTTCTAAACTCATTTTATTGGAACAAATCAGAATAAAACTACTTCATTTTAGATTCTTTCTCCCAAGTAGCATCTCTTTCCATTTTATTCTTACATTAAACCTTAACTATCAAAATCTATTTATTTCTTAACTTTCTAAATTCATAAGACAAAATTCTCACTAGTTCCTCTCTATAACTCATATTCAGACGTACCTCAACTTCTTTTACATATATTCGGTTTTTAGAATCGGAGACCATTTCCTTAGAAGTAACATGTGGAATGCAATATTAGACATATGATCTGACAACTACACCCTGTAAGCAAATTTTCCAATTCGTTCATGTTGACCTTAATCTTATGACCAAAGGAACACAAGAAAAAAAAAGATAAGAAATACCTGGTATCCTCGGTAGATCCACGAATTCTGCCGCAAATCCTGCCCGAAATCCCTCCGAGGAACTGTAGATTCGGCACCGTTCACGTCTGTCTCCGCGATTCCTGCAGAGATCCCGTCGAGTACTCATTTTGCGTTGTTAAATAGAAGCCGAAGGCTCTTCATCACGGCTGCTCGACACACGACTCCTCTCCCGTTTGCTGCACTCACGAACTCCAGCTCCCCCATCTTCCGAAGCTCTCCCGATCCCCTGCTCCAGGAAGCCGAAACCTCCGTCGCCACTTCCAAACCCCAGTCGCCATCTCTCTCCATCCCGAGCCCTTTGCTTCTTTCGTTCCAGTGAAAAGAGAGAGAGAGAGAGAGAGA